GAATTAAGATCAACCCCCACATGGGGGGGGGGGAGGGTTTATAAGGGTCCCTCCTAGGAAGCCCCAGACCCTAAACCTAAATCCTAAACCCTAAACCCTAGACCCTAACCCTAAACCCTAGCCCTAAACCCTAAACCCTAAACCCCAAAACTCGGACCCCTTAAGCATGTACCTCTAAGAGCTTCCCTTAGTGTGCTCCGAAATTTGGCTCGTTTAGTCCCTTAGAGGGTTTTAAAATGGGTCCCCAAGCCCAAGCGTACAAACTTAGGGTGCAAGGTAAAGAGCCCTAAACCCCAAACCCCAAACCCCAAACCCCAAACCCTAAACCCTAAACCCTAAACCCTAAACCCTAAACCCTGAGGGTACAAACTCAGGGGTCCAAGGTAGAGTTCTCATGACTCATGGCTTTTCGGGTTCGGGGGCTTGCGAGCAGAACCCTGTCGTAGAGTAGGTAACCTTTTTGGGGTAGTATAATCCCCTCATAATCCCAAAGGTTACCTGCAATTCCCCCAGGTTCCTGGACAACTATAGATAAGAGAAGCGTCTTAGGGCTTCAGGGCTTTGGAGTGGCTTTATGACGTTAGGGTTTTGGGGGTTTTGGTGTTTTTTGGGGGGTTTTGGGGGTTTCGGGATTTTGGGGGTTTGGAAGTTTTGGGGTTTTGGGGGTTTTGGGAGTTTTGGGAGTTTTGGGGTTTTGGGGGTTTTGGGGTTTTTGGGGGTTTTGGGTTTTTTGGGGTTCGGGGATGTTGGGGTTTGGGGCTTTTTGGGTTTTGGGGGGGGGGGGGGGGGGGGGTTGGGCGTTTTGGGAGTTTTGGGCGTTTTTGGGGTCTTGTGCGTGTTGGGCAATTTGGGGTGGTGTTGGGCGTTTTGCGCGTTTTGGGAGTTGGAGGAAATTTGGGTTTGGTGTTTTGGGGTTTGGGGTTTTGGGGTTTTGGGGTTTTGGGGTTTTGGGGTTTTGGGGTTTTGGGGTTTTGGGGTTTTGTTTGGGGTTTGGGGGTTTGGGGTTTTGGGGTTTTGGGGTTCTGGGGTTTTGGGGTTTTGGGGTTTTGGGGTTTTGGGGTTTTGGGGTTTTGGGGTTTTTGGGTTTTGGGGTTTTGGGGTTTTGGGGTTTTGGGGTTTTGGGGTTTTGGGGTGTTGGGGTGTTGGGGTGTTGGGGTGTTGGGGTGTTGGGTTTTTGGGTTTTTGGGTTTTTGGGTTTTTGGGTTTTGGGTTCAGTGTTCACAAGGGTGCCGGGAAGGCGGGGGGGAGTGGGGGAGCAAGATAAAATTGGAACCTGTCGAACATGCTGTTCACCAGGGATCAGATCAAGGGTGCAGTATTTTCAACCCTAAACCCTAATTAAACCCTAAACCCTAAACCCTAAACCCTAAACCGTGAGCTTATTCAGGCTTAGGGAAGTACAGAGTCGGTTCTAAGTGAATAAGGCCGTAAAGAGGATCACCCAACTTAGGGTACTTCAACCTTACATGGACGGTTTAGGGTTTAGGGTTTAGGGTTTAGGGTTTAGGGTTTAGGGTTTAGGGTTTAGGGTTTAGGGTTTAGGGTTTAGGGTTTAGGGTTTAGGGTTTAGGGTAAGCTCCAGCGCAAAATGCCAGGGCGTCTTCCTGAACACCGGCTCGCATCTCAGATGCCCACGCAGGGCCGGAGGGTTTTGGGTTTGGGGTTTAGGGTTTAGGGTTTAGGGTTTAGGGTTTGGGGTTTAGGGTTTAGGGTTTAGGGTTTAGGGTCTTTACTGCTTTGCCTGCTTGATCCGAAAAGACTTCTTTGACTTCAGAGGCCCTGAGCCATTGTATGCGTCCTTTCCCCCACCCCCCCCCCCAGTCCTAAACCCTTCAGCTCTATAAACCCCGAACCTTAAACCCCAAACCCCTAAGCCCCTACCCTTCAACCCCTAAACCCCTGAAACCCCGAAACCCCTACTTGGAGGTTCATGGCACTTATTATCCAATTGTAACTGTACTTTTAGCTGTGCTTATAACTTATAACCATATCAAGGCACTTAAGAGGCTTACAAGTGGGTTATAAGTGCAGCTACAATGGGTTACTAAGGGGCTTACAAGTGGGTTATAAGTGCAGTTAGAATGGGCAAATAAGTACCATGAACCTCCAAGTGACCCCTTGTTCTTAACTTGAGTCGGGTCTCTGATTCCCCTAAACCCTAAACCCTAAACCCTAAACCCCAAACCCTAAATCCCTAATTCAGGCGGTTCGGCCAATGGCCACCAAACGCGACCAGGGCGTCGGCGAGAGGAGGCCGACGACCTTCGCTGCAGTTTAGGGTTCAGGGTTTAGGGTTTAGGGCTTAGGTTTTAGGGGTTTAGGGTTTGGGGTTTAGGGGTTTAGGGGTTGACGGTTTAGGGGTTTAGGTGTTAGGGGTTTAGGGTTTTAGGTGTTTAGTATAGGGGTTTAGGGGTTTAGGGTTTAGGGTTTAGGGTTTATAGGGTTCAGGGCTTATGGCTTAGGTCTTAGGGCCTCGGGTTTAGGGCACTTTAGTTTGTGTTTGTACATTGTTTTCATTTTTGTGGTTTCTCTTTTTGTTTTTTATTGTGTGTTTACTATGTTTTTTTGTGTGGAAAGGGGGGGGGGGAGGGTTAAGGGGTTCAGGGTTTCGGGCTTTGGGGTTGACGGTTTTAGGGTTTAGGGTGGGGGTTTGGGGTTTAGGGTTTAGGGTTTAGGGTTTAGGGTTTAGGGTTTAGGGTTTAGGGTTCACGGTTTTCGGGTCGTGGGAGCTCTGAACGTCTACGGGGAATTGCTGAGCAAACCTCCGAGAATGGACACTCTCACCCCCCGATTGTTTATCCCTATTGAGGACTGTAAGTAATAGGGGGAACATTTCAGCCCTAAAACCCTGAACCCTGAACCCGAAACCCTACACCCTAAACCCTAAACCCTAAAGCCTGTCATGGCGTGGTGTTCTCCAAGCGCTTCTCTCCGAGCTGGCCAGGGCCCCGAGCGCCAAACACCTCCCGGGGGTTTAGGGTTTAGGGTTTAGGGTTTAGGGTTTAGGGTTTAGGGTTTAGGGCTCCTGAAGCATAGGGTTGACAGGGTCGAGGGATCGCGGCCTTTTCCCCCGCGAATGAGGCGGGACCTTCCTCTTCGTCTGAACCGATCTTCGAGGGAGACAACATCCTCGAGCTGTGAGAGGGGAGCGGCTGGTGGAGCTTAAGGGGTTTAGGGTTTAGGGTTTAGGGGTTTAGGGTTTGCGGTTTAGTGTGAGGGTATACTGGTATACTGCTAGAGCCTTAGTCACCTTGACACGGGGGCTAGTTGGTCGGCATCTCTACCTGCGTCGTAGGGGTTTAGCAGGGAATACACTATGCCGTGGGGGGCCTGCACGAGGGCCCCCTGCTTGTGCGAAGGCGAGCTCACGCGTTTCACCGTCAGCATTGAGAACCCCTCAACCCTTGCGTCCTAACCCTAAACCCGAAACCCTAAACCCTGAATCCTAGCACCTCCGGAGCAGCAGCTGGCCTAGCAAAGACATGTTCAAGCGTCCGGGCATGTATGCTACCCCTGTTCAGAGTTCAACCCTTTGACGCTGAAGACTGAAACCCTGAAGTTAGGGTTTAGGGTTTACGGTTTAGGGTTTAGGGTTTAGGGTTTAGGGTTTAGGGTTTAGGGTTTAGGGTTTAGGGTTTATAGGGTTTAGGGTTTAGGGTTTAGGGTTTATTGCCCCTAGTCCCTAAATCACAAATGTAAACGCTGACCCTTCAAACCCTAAACCCTCAACTCTACACCGAAAGGGCCCCTAAGGCTTCAAGTCTCGACCCTCAACTCGATTTCAGGTGAGGTCGGGTGCAGAAAATGGGCCCCCGTGCCATCTCGTCCATTTACGGTTTAGGGATATGGGATGTACGGTGTAGGGTTAGGGTTTGGGGTTTGGGGGCTGGTGCCATGTACCTAAATAGGGAATACTTGCGCCAGAAAGTACTTCCTGTATAGGGACTTTGGGGCCCAACTATATAAGAATGAGGTGCATGGAGCCCTAGGGATCAGGGTTTAGGGTTGAGGGAAGGGATCAGGACTCACTGGACAGGCTTACAGGGTTCAGGCCTTTGTTGTTTGTTTTGGTTTGAGAGCTTTCAGTTTTTTGTTGTATTCTTAGCGTGCCTTTTTTTGCTTTTGTTTTCAGGGCTTTCAGGGTTGTTTGGGTTCTTAGGGTGTTTAGGGCTCTTAGGGTTTCAGGGTTTTTGGTTTGGGCTGTTTTTGTGGGCTTTCAGGGTTGTTTGGGTTCTTAGTTCTTGGGGTGCTCTTCGGTTTCAGGCTTACAGGGTTCAGGCTTTTGGGTGTCTTCTTGGGGTGTTTGCGGTTCTTCAGGGTTCTTAGGGTCCTAAACCCTGGACCCTAAACCCTAAACCCTTAACCCTAAACCCTTGATGAAGGGTTCTTGGGGTGCTTGGGGTTCTTAGGGCTCTTCGGGTTTGGAGCATCTGGGGCCTCTCCAACCCCCCCCCACCCCCCCCTCCCCCAAACTAGGGTTTAGGGTTTAGGGCTTCGGGCTTACTAAGCCCGAAACCCTAAACCCTAAACCCTAAACCCCAAACCCTAAACCCCCAAACCTCCCTCCAAAGCCCTCCGAAGCCCTCCAATCCCAGCCGTTGGCTCGCGAGACCTGGGGGGGAGCAGAGGTCTCGTCATCTCGGCGGCTATCCGGGGTTCGGTACGGGTGTGTGTCAGGTTTGAGCTGTTTTTAGGGTCTAGGGTTTAGGGTTCAGGGTTTAGGGTTTAGGGTTTAGGGTGGCTTGAGGGGCTTTTGGGTTCTACGGCGTTCGGGTTTTGGTTTGGGGTCTATGAGTTGAGGGCTAAGGGCGTATCTTAACTCTCTTCAGTGCTTGTAGGACGACTTGCAAGTTTATTGAGTTTTCATGTTTTGGGTTAGGATGGTTCTCAAATAACCTAAGCCTAAAAAAAACAGATAAGGGGCTGAGGAATTTTGGGCTCGCTCAGATCGAACTTCACGGAACTCTTGATTTCGGAACCCTCCAGCCGTTTGTGGCGCCATGGCCGAACCCAGGCATGTCTTCCAGCACCAGTAGGGTGTGGGAGTTTAGAGAGTTTAGAGGGTTTGTAGGGGTTATGAGAGTTATGGGATTTGCAGGGTTTGCAGGGTTTAGGTGGGGGTTTGTGGCTTGGGCTTTCGGATTTTGGGTTTTCTAGGACAGTGGAAACCCTTATTCACTTTTTTTTGAGGTTCCCGTATGAGCCCCTTTTAAACCAGGCACCTTAAACCTTAAGCCCTAAACCCTAAACCCTAAACCCCAAACCCTAAACCCTGAACCCCTTTTTGTGCCTAGGCTACTTTTGGGGTCCAGCTCAGGGGCCTTTTCTTTGTTTCGCCACTAGCGGTTGGTAGTAGGGTTTAGGGTTTAGGGTTTAGGGAAGAGGGTTGAGGGTTTAGGGTTCAGGGTTCAGAGTTTAGGGTTTAGGGTTTAGGATTTATAGGGGTACTTTGAAGTCCTTGACCGTCACCGTTATTTGGGGGCACGCCCTCAAGCTTCAACCTATAAACCTTTGCGCCATACACCACCCACAAGATACCCCATTCTAATCAACGGGGCAACTCTATATGAGACGCGGTCAAAATTTCCGCTTGCTTCTTTTTGTAGAGGGTAGTTGTTGCAGCAAAACGTCGAGGATCGATGGGGGACGCGCTAAAATGACAGGGTTGTTTGATCAGATAGGATAGTAGAGCGGCAGGTGAAAACACATTGAAAATGATAATTAGGGGGGGGGGGGGGGGGGGGGGCGCGCTAAATTAAAACCAGCAAGACTTAAGCAAGTGATTTTGACGCTGACTCATATGAGCATTTCCCAAAATAGGGGCAAGTACCCCTTTTACCCCTAAATAGAGTAGAATACCCCAAAAGGTACCCCCGACAAGGATACCCCCTGAACCCCCCTCATATGACTTTTCTCAACAGCGCCCTGCTGTTAGAGGGTTCTGAAGGGAGGGGGTTCATGGGGAGTAGGTACCTAGGGAACCTTCGAGAAGCTTAGGGAGCCTTACCGAGTAATTAGTGGGAGCTTTGGGTTACATACCCTAAACTCTAGACCCTAAACCCTGAAGCACTTTATAATGCTGTCCCAGAGTGGGAGGCCGAGCGACTTTCCGGATGAGTTCTGGCCCGATGAAGCCACCGGGCGTTGGAAGACGCCTGGCTAACCTCATGGGACTCTACCTAGGGTTTAGGGTTTAGGGTTTAGGGTTTAGGGTTTAGGATTAGGGCGGACCCCTAGGGTTTGCGGACCCTTGTCAAAGATCCCGAAAGGGAATAGAAGGGCCATATTCGGCGTACATCAAGGGAAATCTTTATGGGTACAACCTTAGGGGTACGAGTCTTCATCCCTTGAAAGGATGCCCAGTACTGCCCGTATTCCCTTTATGCGCTTCCCTTATGCACCCCTTGCTTAAGCAAAAAAGGGCACCCTGTTTAATCATATCTTTCCTGGCTAGCTAGGTAGACCTCGTTTTTTTTTGTTTTTAAAGTGTTCCGGGTGCTTCGTTTATTCAGTTCGAGTCTTGCAGTCTAGGTCTAGTTTGGGTTTAGTAGGGTTGCCACAGTGTGTTTTTGGAGTTTAAGGGGTTCTATTTAAGTTGGCCGAGAGTTTGCGGGGTTTGGGTGGGGTAGTCGAGTGGTGTCGGCCTTCGTGCTCAATCAGTTCGTGGTCTAGGGGTTTAGGGTGTAGGGGGGGCAGCTTGTCCTCACTCCAAGAAACTCTGGCCTTCGTCTGCTAAGGTGCCAGAGTTTCGGGTGGGCCTTAAACCCTAAACCCTAAACCCTAAACCCTAAACCCTAAACCCTAAACCCTAAACCCTAAACCGTATGCCTACAAACAGGTCCTTGGCGACTTTTTTTTCATCCGAGGAACCTGGGCGTGTTGGGCAGTGGTGGCCTGGCTGCCGGGACCCCTGGTGGGGCATCTTAGGGTTTAGGGTTTAGGGTTTAGGGTTTAGGGTTTAGGGCTCAGGGTTTAGGGTTTAGGGTTTAGGGTTTAGGGTGCGGGATATGTTGTGCACTGAATAGGGGATTGAGACTCAAAGCCAGTTGCTCATGAGGAGCGGGATCCACATTGTCTGAATGGGAGGAGGAGGGTTTGGTGTTTAGGGTTTAGGAAGGTCTGCAGGGGTTTGTGGTTTAGGGTGTGGTAAATCCCGGTGACAGACACAAACGGCTTAACGGTACGATTTCTTGGTTTAACAGGAGCGCCCTAAACCCGCAAAACCCTAAACCTAAGTCCTGCCTAAACGCCCCAAATACCCCTGAGGAAGGGCCCTTGTGTTCCGTACTGGGGCAACGTTGGACATCTTACCGGGTAGTTTCGGGGTGGTCTAGGAAACACCTCAATCGCTAGACATGCCAAGACCTACAGCTAAGGGTCCATGTACCTCAATAGGGCATACTTGGGCCTCAAAGTACTTCCTTTTCAGGGACTCTGGGGCCCAAGTACATAATAACAAGGTGCATGGATGTTTAGGGTAGGCCCTCAAGACCCGCCAAACCCTACAACCCTCAACAGCCCTAAACCCTAAACCCTAAGCCCTAAACACCCTCAAATCTAAGCGCAGTCTCATGGGCCCTGAACCTCCCCTGCAGGGTTCTGAAGTATGGGCCCTTGAGTTGTATACCCTAAACCCTAAACCCTAAACCCTAAACCCTAAACCCTAAACCCTTATAGGATATATAAGGGGTATATACGGGGTCCCCGTTTAAGGGCCCATACAAACAGGGAGCATACAACTACCCTTAGATCAAAGTCAGACCCTTGAAGCCCCTTCGTAAACCCTTCAAACCCTTTGTGTATTCAGGCATCATGTTGTACTTGGTTTAGGGTTTAGGGTTTAGGGATGTAGTGCTCGAGTGTATATCTGAAAACATTACTCAGAACCCGCAAAGCTCTGTCAAAAGCCACAAGGCCCTCAACAGCCCTCAAACACCCGAAACGCGTTCTAAACTTGCCAAAGCCCTCAAAACCCTAAACCCGCAAAACCCTTTGGACAAAGTAAAAAACGGAACGCCCTTTCTTAAACCCTTTCTAAAGCCTCCAAAAGCCCCGGAGCTTGGCCACACCCTTTCGGGTTTAGGCTAAGCCTAAACCCTAAATCCCTAAACCCTAATCCCCTAATCCCCTAAACCCTAAACCTAAACCCTAAACCCTAAACCCTCAACCCTCAACCCTCAACCCTAAACCCTAAACCCTAAACCCTAAACCCTAAACCCTAAACCCTAAACCCTAAACCTTAACTTGAACAACCCCCCCCCCCCCGCTTTGGCCAAGGTGGTGTACTTAGCCCAGGACATGAAGGGCAGCCGGGGGCGCGTGGCCCTGAAGGTGGGTAGCTCTTGTTTAGGGTTTAGGGTTTAGGGTTTAGGATTTAGGGTTTAGGGTTTAGGGTTCAGGGTTTGGGGTTGTAGGGTTTAGTCTCAACACAGCCGAAGAACCTAGAGTTTGTGGTCTTCTGTTTAGGATTCTGGGTTCCCAGACCAAACGCGCGGACCCTTGGTCTCAGCAGGGCTTATAGGGCTTTTGGGGGTTGCTCACGTTTTGGGGCTGACTAGGTCTGCAGGCAATCTATGACCCTCTCGTGGAACCTTGTTCCACGCTTTTTGGGTGGGTTGCCTTCCCTTCCACACACGAAGGTTTCTTTGGTGTGTTTTTGGGTGAGACGGAACCCTAAGCCCTGAGCCTTAAACCCTAACGCTTAACAACCTCTCAAACCCTTGTGATCCAACGGCGGAGGTCCTCCGCGCTGCGGCGCAGCCGGTACATGCCTATGAGTTGCACCGCGAGGCCAGACAAAACTACCAAACCTGTCTCGGCCTTGGGCGGGAGTCTATGTGGTAGGGTTTAAGGGTTTAGGGTCTAGGGTTTAGGGTTTAGGGGTAGTTCCCTAAGTTATGGTCAGATGTCTGGCAGTTGAAGTTAGGTGTCGTGGGTTGAATTCTTAGGGTTCATGTTTGAGGGTGGGTTTAGGACTCAGGCTAACCCCCAAACACCCAAACCCTAAACTCCAAACCCTAAACCCTTTAGCTATGGGGTGGCAGACCCACCAGAGGCGCGCAAGTCGCTACAGTACCAAACCCACAGACCGGAACCTTCCCCGTATTGTTTGAAGCCCGAGGAAAACCCCCCAAAGCCCTGAAGCCGCTAAAGCCCCTTAAGCCCCTTATGCCCCTTATGCCCCTAAACCTTCAAACCTTAAACCCTGAAACCCGAAGCCCCTTAAGCCCCAAACCCTAACCTTCAGACCCTGAAGCCCTGGTTCTCGGCAGGGAATGAGGGAATTAGGGGCCCTAGAATTCCTCAGGCAATCTGCCATGCGGTACGGTGTGCGGCTGCCTACGTGCCTTGCTGATACGATTCGATATCGTGCGGACGGTGCTTCAGGATTCGCAGCAAATACATCACCGTACAGTTTCGTTGGCAGGGATGACGTGCTGCTGGCTGGTATGAATGTAGCCCATCCGGCTTTGGCTGTGCCCAATGCTTGCTTTGGCACATGTGGAGCAGCGTCATTCCAGCTTGAGAGAATTGAAGGATTGTTTGATCGTGTGAATGATGAGACGTCAAGTACAAGCGCCGGGCCCATCAATTGTTTCTCCAGGGCGTCTGCTGTCGGATTGCTTGAGCCATGGGTATCCTGCATACACAGTTGCTCAGGATCCAGCACGTGTTGGTCTTCCACCCTAAAACCCCCCACCCTAAACCCTAAGCCCTAAACCCTAAACCCTGGACCCTAAACCCTAAACCCTAAACCCTACCTAAACCCTAAATGCCCTACAAATGCCCTACAAACCCTAGACCCGAAGTGCGGCAGGCTCTCTGGTCTCTCACGCGACTCCACTGCAGCACGCACAGCAAGTTCGATTCCGCCGGCTCGCAGCTCTTCGTGCGCTACCTGGAGGACTATGGGGTTTAGGGTTTCGGGTTTAGGGTTTAGGGTTTAGAGTTTACGGTTTAGGGTTTAGGGTTGGGGTTTAGCGCTTAGGGTTTCGGATTTCGAGTTTTGGGCTTGGGGGATTTGAATCCCCAGACCCCTAAACCGGAAAATCAAACCTTCACTCGGCCGTGATAGTTCGGCTCACCTAAAACCCTAAACCCTAAACCCTAAACCCTAAACCCTAAACCCTATACACAAGGCACCTTGAGTTAACCTCCTCGAAGAGTCCGAAACTTGAAGCTCCGAAACTCTGAGCCCTAAACTGTTTTGGGGTCACTAGGGCTACTTATAGGGTTTAGGGTTTAGGGTTTAGGGTGTAGGGTTTAGGGTCTCTGGGGACCAAACGAACCTAAAAAATGGGGTCATGTACCCTGCATATACTAAAAATCGTGTTACGGTCCATGAACCATCATCCCTTTTACGGTTACATAACATAGGCTTTGCTGTGCAGGGCCCGAAACCCTAAACCCTTATAATCCCTAAACCCTGAACCCTTACTCATTTTGTTGACAACTCTGAAAGCGTTGCTGACAGGACCACACCGGATTCGGGCGGCTGGGTGAAGAGGCGCCCATTTGGTTCCCTGAACCCTA